GGGGGGGGGGCAGACGGAGAGACAAACAGTGGGGGAAATTGTTGGTGTGTGTGACAGCGCTGATAGAAACAGTTGACTAAAACAGCTAATTATCTGAACAAAGGCAGCAAATGAATACTGCCTAATAATTAGCCTTAAATACATGCTATTGTCAGCAGTTCTTTATTATACGCCACATTCACAGCAATATGGTGTTGTGCCTGCTGGGATCGTGGCCTTCGTTGTAATTGTTGTTTGCTAAAGCACAGGTCCCAAAGCTGGGTCAAAGGCTCTGCAATGACTGAAAATATAGAAACAACTCTGCTAAAAAAGTAAAATACTATTATGCCTACTATTTTTTGTAGTATATTGAGATGTAAACACCCTTTCTGAGAATATGCTCTTGTTTATCTTCAATGGTGCACAGCACTATAGAAGCAACTATAATATCGCTGTTTTGTAGGAAATATTGTATTTAACTGTAACAATTGACTATTTGGATCTTAATGAAGTTTTCATCTCCGGTTGCGTTCAAGTACAGTTGTATATTTTAGAATAAGTAAATGAGAGCTTTACATGACAACTTGAAGTTACATTTTCTCAATTACAGAAGTAGCAAAGAACCTGTGTCAACAACTAGTGTACATAGTTTTGCTGCAACGTTATTAACCTCTGCAGCAGCCAGGGATAAAGCAAATAAACAATGTGGCTTTGTTTTCAGGGTGAGCTAATTGTTGGCGCACAAATAGCATTGAAATGTCTTGGAAAAAATAATGCGGTAGTGCACTTTTATCCACTACTCGTTAGCAAATCACCTTTCAGTCAATTGTTTGACTGACAGACAATACTGTTAGGTCTACTTACTTTGTGTTTCTAAAGCTTTCAATCACATCTCGTGGCCTTCCTCGAGGTTGAGGAGTTGCTGTTTCCATCAGCAATTTGATTAGCTCAAAGGCAGCCATTGCTTTTCGACATTGGACCACGTGGGTTTTGATATAAAGCAGCCCTGTAACAGACAGGTGTCCTGGGTGAAGAAGTCATAGCTTTCGGCGCAGGTGGACGAAACTTTGCTTCAGGTACATTTGGGATTCTCTTCATGCATTCACCCAAGTTGTGTTTGGTACACTGTCGCCATCTAGTGTATCATTTCAGTATTGCATCTGCGCATCCGTTCAGTTTGAGCCTAGCAGGAACCCGTAAGGAGGAGCAAACGTCGCCTTAGCAACGGGAAGGGTTTGGATCATGGTTTGGATCAGTAACTAGCACAACATTTCTTCCTAACTGGGCTGATTCATAAAGAAAACACGCCTACATATTTCCAGTTTACTACCTGAAGCCGTGATGGCTGCAATCAACCCGTCAGTGTTTCTTCTGACGGTGAACGGACAAATTGAGGGAGCAAACGTAAGTCTAACTTCTAATTGTTAGCCTAGCCTAGCAGCTATTTTCAACCAGAATTAGCATTAGCAACGCTTGCCTTCCACCTGAATGTGTCTAAATTATTAGTTTGAATGCCATTAAAGTGTATTTTGTTATGTTATATTTCAGTTTCCAGAGTATGACAACTTGTACTGCAAATATTGTTTTGTGTACGGCCACGACTGGGCTCCTACTTCGGTGAGTAGTATGCTAACAACAGTAACTTTATGTGAGTAAAGATTATGGTCGGCATCAAAACAAATACTCTACATCAGAATCAGAATTCCTTTATAAGATGTATTACATTTACATCGTTACAGCAAGAGACACTAATGGTTGTATACTGTATGTATATATTGCAAAGTGTTATATTCGTTAACTTTAACATAATAACACTGGTAAACAATGTATTAAATGTCTGCATATGGAAGCTCTTCTCTGAAGCAACAAGTAAAAGAGAAACTGGTTAAGTCCTGAATTGAGAATTGGTAGTAAAGACACTATTATTACCATGGAGTGAAACACAGTCACTGTGAACAATGTCAAAATGTTAGGACAATATATAACTTGTTTTCACGTGCATTCAATTTAAAAAAAAAAAAAAAAGTATAGCATGGTTTATCAGGTGTAGTTATCATCTTAATAGCAAGTCTGTTTCTTTGTTTCTTTGTAGGGGTTGGAGGAAGGCATAACTCAAATAACATGTAAAGGCAGTCAGTCTTCACACAAATTAATATGGAACTTCCCATTGGAGACGACGTTTAAGAGCACAAACCCCACTGGATGTGAGCACCACACCACACGCGCACACCACACCGTTTTTAGCATTGTCTTTATTTGCACATTCATAATCATCTCTTAGTTCCAATAACCGCCCTTTATGAATCATAATACATAGACAATGAAAAATGACCAGACTTCATTTTCATTTCCCAGGGCCTCAGCTGGTGGTGAGCGTGTACGGTCCAGATGTGTTTGGCAACGATGTGGTCAGAGGCTACGGAGCAACACACATCCCATTCACTCCTGGACAGTAAGTATTACATTTAAATACATCCAAGTATGTATGTAAAAATGTGCACATTGTATTACACTATATAACATGTATTACTATGAATAAAGTTTCAAATGAATACGTTGTTTTCCTGTTTTCTAGGCACACACGAACCATCCCCATGTTCGTTCCTGAGCCCACGTGGAGACTTCAGAAGTTCACGAGGTGCGATCATGTGTTCAGTTTCTGTGTTAGCAGCTGTGGTGCTGCAGCTGATGAGTATTTCCCACCGGGAGAAGCAGCTGAAATCTCAATATTAGCAAATATTTACTGCTCCGGGTGATACAGTCTCAGTAGTCGACGTCAGTAGGTATTGTTTGCCAGCTGCTGTTATCAGTGTGTATGGAAAGAATTACACACAACGGTGATCACAGTCACTTTGACACATAACACAGTACTCTCAGATTAGAAGGACCTTTAGCAACATTAGGAGCATATTTAGTGTTTCCTTTAATCTGGGAAAGGGTTCAAATATATGCATGTGGTGCTTTTTTTTAAAACCTTTTTTGTAGAACTTAACATCACATGTAAACATCACTCCCTGTCTGCCAGAGATGACTTTTAATAGGAGTGATAGTTTTTAACATGTGTTTCCTCTCTTGTTCAGCTGGCTGATGGGACGACGACCTGAGTACACAGACCCCAAAGTAGTGGCCCAGGGAGAAGGCAGAGAAGGTTTGTTCCGCATTGTATGTTATTATGTTTTACATTGTTAACAGGGACATGCTACTGGTTCACACCCTCTTTTTTTTTTTTTGGTTCACACCCTCTAACGGAAAAGCATTATAAACACATTAATAACAAAAACGGTGTTTAAAAAATAAATAAATAAGCAAACTCCTGACATTTCTAAAACAAGTCACGGCCCGTCCACACTACAGCTTCGACAGCTTCAAAAACGGTTTCCAACGCGTCTGCCCATTCACTTTGAATGGGGTGACGTCACGTTGCCTCGCTTTTCGCCGAACTGAATTGTGGGTAGCAGAGCGGAGCTTTCCTGGCGTTTCAGGCTGCAAAAGTTGAGCAATGTTCAACTTTTGAAGCTTCTGAAGCTTTCGGTGGAAGCGTCAGCCAATCAAATCATATGCCAGTACAAGCTCTAGCC